TTTAAATGAAATTTAAAGTTGATTTTATCATGTTTTGGCAGAGACTACACATGTATGGCGCACGCAAATTTCTTTTTACCGGGGTTCCGGTGATTGGATGCGTTCCTGAAGAAAGGGTCAAGAATGAAACCGGAGACTGCAATCAAGAAAAAAACTTCTGGGCCACCAAGTACAATGAAGGACTGGTGCCAATGTTGAGAGGGTTGAAATCAGAGCTTCAGGGCATGAACTATACATACTTTGACACCTACTCTTTCATGCAAAAAATCATCGAAAACCCATCTACTTACGGTAACAACAAACAGCATAAGAGCTTTTGTAGTTCCTCTTTTCATTACTTACCTTTGCTGGTGAAGTTTTAATATAGATTGATTCTTGAATTCTGTTGCAGGATTCAGTGAGATTAAGTCTGCTTGCTGTGGGCTTGGGACCCTTAAAGCGGTTGTCCCCTGTTTGCCCGTTGCAGACTATTGTCCTAACAGGACAGATCATTTGTTCTGGGATCTATACCATCCAACAGAAACAGCTTATCGGATTTTAGCTGATGCAGTTTATGACGGTTCATCTGAGTATACATTTCCGATAAATTTGAGGCAGCTGGCTTCTGCGCCCTGAGGCTGGATTATAGAAAAGCAGGAGGCATTGTCTTGGGTAAAATGTCCCACAAAGCATTTGTATCAGCAGCAATACTATAAATTTATCAAATTTATAGGAGTTAAAAGAATTGAAAATGCAGAATTCTTTGATGCTCATTCCAAGTATGGTATCAAAGTAAATGTATGTTTCAAATGCTAATAAAATTTTTGGCTCCACTACCTCTTAATTGGCTTCTGAAATGTACCATAAGGGCATGCTTTTAGGATTCGTAAGGCAATAAATCTCTAAAGAAGGTGTTGAGATCACCCTTGAGAACATCAAACGCCAACATTTTATCCAGTGCAGCCTGCATTTTTTTAGCTTAAATGGTGAGATTCATGTCTGTAAAGAACAAAGAGATGTCTTATTGAATAGTAGTCTTTTTCAAAGGTCTAGATTCTAAATATAAAACCTGATATTGCTGGTCATGGGCTGATATATTCTGATTGTTCAATCGTGCAACACGTTTATTGTTTCTAATAGAATCCAGTACATGCGCTGCTCTCTTTATTACTTCATCTGGGACACCTACATGTGAAAAGCAATTAGTCCCACAACAAGGAGACATGTAGCCTCTCGAAGCTTGAAAGTGATCAGCAGTAGCCTTCACTCTTTAGTTACTAGATGTCTTCAGATTTATTTGCCACTTGAGATAAACACATTATAAATTAATGTGTGAAAGATAAATATGCAACAAGAGTCAATGAATTGTTCCTTCGCATTTTGCGGGGATCTGATGTATTTATCATTACCTGCTAATAGCGCACAATGAAGTCCTACAAGACATAAAGCAATGAATGTGATTTTTTAGGAAAGATAATTTTACTGCTTTATGTTGAGAACTGGGAAAGGAAAATAACAGAAACTCACCATAGCTCAGAAGTGCATGGCCAGGAACTAACCTGCAAGGTATTACTGTAGTTTATAAAATTATATCCCCTAGAAATAATATAGTAAATGGCCACTGACTGTGTTCTTTTAAATAATCTATATAATCACCCAGGTGCACAATAAAATTAATACCTATACAGAAATATGATGTCTTCAGTATCTGCCGAGTTATTTTCAGGCTGCAGCACACTCATGGTGTAAAACTTGACCTTCTCAGACTGTAGAAGATTGCAAAAGTATGAAAAAGGATAAGAAGAACGAGCATAAAAAAAAAAAAAAGGAAGAAGAAGAAGAAGAAAAAACTAAAGGAAAGATAACTTGTCATTTTCAGGATAACAAAACAGTGAAAATGATAGCAGCTGTGAAACAATGCATACCTTTGGCAAGCAACTCTCAGTGAATATCTCAGTCAAGTGAGTACACACCAGAACCTGCTACCCAGTATGGCACAGTTGGCCTAAAAGCTAAAGCCTCATAGAAGTAGTGAAAGTAAAAGCTAACTACAACACATGCAATTAATGGATGGAAGAGAAGATTGTCAAACCTTTGGGGGATCATCTGAGGCACAAAAGTAATTTATGGTTCCACCAAGAAGACCAATGCCATCTAAATTGAACATGAAAACATTATTTAATGGATTGCACATGCAGCATTGCAATAGCTGCACATTCCACAACTGAGAAATAGAAGACACTAACCTTCAGTCAGAGTACCTTTACCAAATTCATCCAACAGGCACAAAGATCTTGAAGTTGCCTGCCTGAATAAATTTTGGGCAACATAATAAAAATGCAAAGGATGAACTGCAGAGATTTAGCAATGAAGTGCCCCATAAAGGCTAGTAGTTTTTAACTGGCTTGCCAATTCTCACCCACACATACCTCAACATCATTCCTACTTGATGTAAATCTATCATAAACGTAGATTGTTCTGCAGTCATAAGCTTACTCCCCATAGCACAGAATATCCTGTTGAATGGAACTAAGGTTAACATAAACAGCTACATATAAACTTGGAATTGCAAATAAAGGAAGACAATGGCAACACACTATTCTTCACCTATCAGTCAATCCCACAGTTGCAGCATCTGCAGGTACAAAACTTCCGATGTGGGAAAGAAAAACAATTAAAGCCACCTGAAAAACAAAATCTTTCGGGGTTCAAGAATGAAGTGCCATGCAGAAAAGACCTAGGAATGTATCAATGAAAAAATCCATAAAAAAATATACAGAAAAAAGTAGTGGCAATGCATTATAAATCTAATGAACAATATTCACACACATATCCATTTCCCACCACCAGCATGCATAGATGCTGCTCCTAGAGTGGTATCTCTACTGAGTACTGACCTGCTTTATGTAGATGCTTTTCCCTGAATAATTAGGGCCAGTGATGATATTGATCCTTCCTGACTTAACAAAGAAAATCAGATTGCTATAATGGAAACATGCTCTCATGAAACAAAGATTTAACATGGTGAAGTTTAAATATACCATCACTTAGAATTTTAGAATCATTTGGAATAAATGTATCAACAATCATTTCCTGCAAAACATGCCTGTGGAACAGTATTAAAATGTAGCTTGTACCACTGGCAACTCTGAACTAATTTGAGGGTTCTTGAAAATAGCATGTAAAAATTAGACTCTTTCTCACCTCCCATTATGTATATCAAGTATGGGTTCCGTGGTTAAAGTAGGCCTCACATAATTGTTCTGACGGGCAACCATTGCCAATGACAAAAAGCTAATTATCAATGCAAAGATAGAACAATCAGAAGATATTATTATGAATTGATAGGCAACCATTGCAATGAAAAAGAGCAAATTATCACCCAGCTATCAGGTACATAACAAAGATAGCCCACAAATATTTTCTTGTGAAAAAGAAAAAAAAAAAAAAAAAAAAAAAAAAA